ATCTTAATAATTCAAAGAGTTTAAGGATATAGTTAAAAAACGCTCGTCTTGGCACTCTACATAAATAAAGCTATTCTTTTAAAATGGCGCTGGTCTGACATGAGAAAGCCTGTCGCACTGCTTTGCAGACGAGTTCGTTATTACACATGCACACTTTTTGGTACAGACACACAACATGACTACAGTCAAGGAAGTTGCAGAACAATATCGTCAATTATAATTAAGCTTGAATAATGAGTAGTTTAATCAAATTATATTCTTTGCATGATAATTTGTCTTATACTGTTGGCTTAAATATATAGATAATATATTACATGTATATTAAACTTATTTTTAAGTAAACAATTAACAATAAAGAAATGTACTCTCCTAGACTGTAAAAATACCGAGATTCTTGTGTACTGAATATACCTACAGTACACGCCTCCGTTTCGTTATTACTTACACACTTTTTTTTGGTACAGACACACATGCATGACGTTCTCCGCCCGCCCCTTAATTGTCTATTTTGAGCCCCTGTAATCTGGTCTGATTATATGATGAGCATATATAGAATATATATATATGAATAAACATGAAGTTAGAACTGACTATTGTGTACTGGCCAAACTAAACAAACTTTAATCGAAAATCAACACAACTCCCCAGATTTCAGGCATATTATCATATAATCAAATAGATTATCAAGTACAATAGGTGGCAGCAGAGAAATGTACGTCACAAGTGTAAAATATAACAAAGAAAGCGAAATTTTCTCACATTAGTTGACATGTTTTCCAAGATTAAATAAAAAAGTGTAAAAACAGATAATAGACACATAAAATTGCACTTAATTTACTGTAAGATAAGTACTTTATTTTTAAATTATCACAATACAAATACAGCTGTACTGAGAGTGTACAAATTCTACGTTGTCATCTATTGTACTAGAATCTATTTGTATATACTTATCAGACATGAAGATACATACAAATGTAATTTACAATTTATTCAACTTTTGAACCCTAACTTCTCACCATTTTCTGCATAAAGTGAAAACCAGAAAACTGTGGTATGAATATACCGTTTTTTACTTACAAATGTAATTTTCAGGACACATTTTTAAAAAAGTTGATTTGAAAATTCTTAGTGACATTTCATTATTAAAAGAAAAAACAAAACGCCACAAATTGCTATGTCTTCTGGTTCTAACGGTGTGCAAAAAATATTTAAAGAATTATTGTAGAATTTTGAATTTTTTACATTCATTCTCTATGGGAAATTCAATATACTATTTAATCACCTTTCAAAGAGTACTATTAATGAGGTACAACTCAGAATTCAGAAACGATAAATAAGATTTTTTAAACCAAATTTTTCTTTTTTAAAACTAATAGCTGAAGGGCCCAGCGATGCCCATGAAAAAAAAAATTTGAAAAAAATGTTGTTCTATAACACCCCCAGGCACCCCATGAGTGTCCACAAAAAAATCAGCCTATTCGGTTCAGCCGTTAGGCCGGCTATAGGCAACATATATATGAATATCTTGTTTTGTAATATAAATAAACTAATAATACCATTTTTCCGCAGAATTTCGCCAATTATTCCAAAACCTGGAGCTAAAAAACCTGTCCAGTGTCCATATTTGAAGTGCAGCAGCAGGATAAAGGGCCGAAACCTAGTAACACTTATAGTCGGCCCTGTCTCATTATTGGATAATATTAACAAAACTGTGTAGTTTTTGTGTGATGCCTTCTGTTAAAAACACCGTAAATTTCAAACAATCCGTTTTCAGAGTTGCAAGGTACTGTTGACATAATTTTGATTCAAGGGTCACTTACAATTATGTTACCGAACTTCTGACGTTCAACATCAAAGGAAACCATAGATACACTTCAAAAATAACTCTGATGAATCCTTTTCTCCTCCTCTTCTTTATCAAAATACCATCACAAGGAAAAACCTGGGAACAAGAATAGAATCTATGTAAGAATGTCCCGGGAAAAAAGTTTCTTAAAAAAAACCTGGAAATAAAAACTTTTTAGTGTGAAATTTTAGGACTTTTTTTCAGGAAACTTTTTTTCCAAGGACTTTTTTGGCGGTCACCCAAGAGTATAGTTTCATAATAATTACCTTCAATAAAATATTTGCAAACATCCAACTTCAAAAATATTATTTTTGTTGATGCAATATGCAATGTTTAGAAATAAAGATAACGCTTGTTAGAGTACTATGTACGTGCAAAAAATCATTAATTTCGAAAACACAGAATTTATTTATAATTAATTAATTAATTCTTTTTAACAACAAATAAATTGTAAAAGCGCAGAATAAATTCTTTCAAGATAATTTTTAAAATGATTAACTTAAGCTTTGCCAACATTAAAACATTCACTTTTTTCTTTCATAAGATTAAACTATACATTTTACTAAGATTCAAAATATAATTTATTTCAATTTTAAAACAGAAGTTGAGTTATCTTTACAATTCCCTTAACTCTTTGTAACCTGATGGTGTCGACCTTTGTCATTTGATCTGACAGAATTCATAGTTGAAAAATATCTAAGGATAGAAGATGAAGGGATTAGAATCAGAACTTCTTTATCTTTGATAATCTTGACTGATGCCGCCGGGAGGCCTGTTTTGCCGCCAATCTGTTTAATCCCCGCCTGGAAACCATGTGTCGGGAATATCCGATATATTTACCGGATTTTCCCCCAGTTCTCGGGGATTTCCCTGGATTTACTCCGGTTAAATAGATTTATCGCGGGCATGAGTATATCCTTTAACAATACCGTGGCATCCCATTCCCCCTCCTCCTTAAATTCCCCCGGGTCTATGGTTTATATATTGTTGTATCTGTAGAATCTGCTCAAACTAAGATTCGGTCAATTCAGTCTTTAACAGACATCGGACACACTTGCAGCTGGTCGTAGTGAGAACACACTTGCAGCTGGTCGTAGTGAGAACATACTTACAGCTGGTCGTAGTGAGAACACACTCACAGCTGGTCGTAGTGAGAACACACTTACAGCTGGTCGTAGTGAGAACACACTACAGCTGGTCGTAGTAAGAACAACAGGCATTTAACTTTTGTTGTATGCTTGTTGTCTTAGGACGCAATGCTAAAAATGTACTTTCCATTAAAACAAATAAACTTTTTCTTTAGAAGCTTATCTATAACTTGCAGTTATAGTTTAATATCACATGCAGGGACCGAACTTGAATTTGAGTAAGGTCGCTAAACTACTTACCGCTGGTTCAAATCTTGGATCACTGATTCAAAGTTAAAGATTCATGAGGATTTAAACTGAGAGTCTAGTAGTTCAGAGACCTCTACGCTTCATAAAATTCGGGCCCTGGGGATATTGATAATATTTTACCTTGAAGAAATTCTATATATTAAATGTTTTTTTTAGTCTAAAGATGAACAAAGATTATTTTAAAATTTTTTAATTTTAATAAATAAGTTTAACTCACTAAATCCTGCTATAAATTTATTCATTTTTCTCGAAAAAATCAATTATTCATGAAATTGTTTTATTCGTTGAATCCACATAATTTTTTTAGCATAAAACACACAGGGTCAACAACATGCTGGGTATACACTAGACGGGCTGGTTCAAGTAAACACTAGACATGTCAACAACATGCTGGGTATACACTAGACGGGCTGGTTCAAGTAAACACTAGACATGTCAACAACATGCTGGGTACACACTAGACGGGCTGGTTCAAGTAAACACTAGACAGGTTCAACAACATGCTGGGTACACACTAGACGGGCTGGTTCAAGTAAACACTAGACATGTCAACAACATGCTGGGTATACACTAGACGGGCTGGTTCAAGTAAACACTAGACATGTCAACTAGACGGGCTGGTTCAAGTAAACACTAGACATGTCAACAACATGCTGGGTATACACTAGACGGGCTGGTTCAAGTAAACACTAGACATGTCAATCCTTGTTCAGGTCGAATTATGCAACGATCGGGTTCATGTAAACCTTCATCAAACCTTGTTTAAGCTTTGATTATGATTGAACATTCATTTAAAGGAAATGAGCTCTTGCTACGACCTCAAAGGTATGAAGTCTTTGCTACAAACTCAAATTTTCTAATCCCTATATGTCTTTGCAGCCTAATGGTGTAAACCTTTGATATTTCAAACTTAAATTATTAAATCTTAGAGAAATTTCATAGTGTTTAAAATATCTAAGGTGTACGACATTGGTTTGCTAAGATAATAGCAATTAGAAAACCTGTGTTTGTGGCAAAGACTTAATTCCTTTGGTGTAAACCTTTGATATTTCAAACTCAAACTATTTGATCTAATTGCAAAGATATAGGGATTATAAAATCAGAGTTTGGACTTACAAAATCATTTGATTTGTGGAATTTCTTTAAAACTTTTTTTCTCCGATTTCACATATTTTCTAAACATTTATATTTTAACTTAGTGTACAATAAAAATAATTGGTAATATTGTATTTATTAAAAGATTCTAAAGACAAAAAGAGTTGAGGTGTTTTGAGTTAAATCTTAATGGTACATTTTCAGCAGTGTTTGGGGAGGGACAACCCAAATATTTAAATATTTTAAAGTAATTCAAACCCTTCTGGAGTTTAAAATACAGTTTAAAAAAAGAGAATTAAAAAGACGAGATTGAAATTAACTGAAAATGGATCAAAAACATTGCTGCCTAAAAATCAAGCAAACATGAAAATTCTATTTTAGTAATGTGAAAAAATAATAATTTTAGTAATCGATATATAAGGTCTCTTTTTAAAGTAATTAAAAAAATGGTTTATTTGACAAATCAGGGCAAAAAGTGAAACAATACATACAAAGGAAATATTTAAGTGTACACAGAGTTTAAAATATCTATTGTTATTGTTATCTTTAAAATCTAGATATTAGAATCACAGGAATCATAGTTTAATATTTTAAAATCTAGATATTAGAATCACAGGAATCATAGTTTAATATTTTAAAAGCCATTAAATAAATGTAAATGATCCTTCATTAGGATAGGTCCGCCATTTTGTTTCCTTCAGCTGATTACTTGGCACCGAATGCGGCCATTTTGTTGTTAATTGGTGCTTTCATAAACCTATCTGACTTCATGTACTTCTCTATGGCGGGTAGCTTCTCAAACCTTGCAAAATACATCTCAAGGTTCGGGTGCTCCTTGAGACAATCGGGTTGGAGCATCTTGTGCTGACTGAGCATCTCATAGAGGTGGAAGTCCGGGTAAGTGATCTGTTCCCCCACCAACCAACTCTTGGTTCCCAGGAACGTGGAAAAAGCCTGGAGCTGTCCCTTCAATCCCACGAGGTACTCATCCTTCAATGATTCAAAGTTCGGATTGTAGCAGAGTCTGACCCAACCATTCCTGAGATCCATAATTAGATCAGCACACATATCAGCTTCAGCCTTTTCCTTTAAAGATGTTCCTTCCAGGTTGTTTTTACGAGCAATATATTTTAAAATAACATTGGACTGGGTTAAGCTCACATCTTCATCCTTGTAGTAGGGAAGGTTAGGGAAGTCTAGACCAAGACTATATTTAGAATCAAACCAACCGGACTTATCAAAGTCCGGTGCAGGACCACAGGCAATCATCTTATCCTCGAACTCAGTATTAGTGTACTCAAGCAGCAACCTAATGGGCTGGGCCAACCCTCTTGTATCCCAATAGCATAAAACTGCAGGAGCCATGTTTACTGTTCAACAATGGAGCAATAATTGTGATGAAGGATTTAGAAATAAAGATAACGTTGGTTAAACTGATAAAGATAACTTCTGCAAAACTGAGATAAAATTTTTTTTTTCAGTGCAGAACGTAAGATCTTTTGCTGAAAGAGTATTATCGCTAAATTTGTAGAAATGAACGATTACAATGGGAAAAATATGTAAATTTTTGGGTAAAAATTGTCAAAAAGTGGGAATATTTTGTTAAGTGTCAAATTTTTTATTATGTTTTCTTCCAAATTGTTTAAGGGGGGGGGGAGGTAGTTCTTATATACAAATAGACACCTACAACTATGGAATCGGAAGACGACTGTTAATATACTCAAACAATGATTTTATATAATCTAATCGACATGAAACAAAGCAATTGTGTTGTGTACACAGACCCATTTACCTCAATAAGTAAATTTTCAAGCTGTTTGCTTCATATGGTTAAGTACAGATCAGATTGCTTCCATGTCGTCTTCCTATTCCATTGTTTTATGGGACCCCCTGTAAATCCTTGTTGTCTGCAGATATGATGGATGTAGTCTGGCATGTTTGTGAGTATCCAGCCTGTAATTTTAAAACAATAAAACCTGCTCGACTTGACCGGCATGCTAAATTTCATACCTCTAGAGACAGGTAAACATGTTTACAGGAAATCCTAGGGTTTTTTAGACACAATGAAAATGATCTAGGACAGTTAGAATACGGAAATCTTGATGAAATAACAAAAAATATTGGTAGAATGTCATGAACTGTTGATAGAATGTAATTTTTGTTGATGGAATGTCATAAAATGTTGATAAAAAGTTATAAAATGTTGATATAGTGCCATTACATGCATGTTGATATTCTGACATAAAGGTTAATAAAATGTTATAAAATAATGATCGAATGCCATAATATGTTGATAGAATGTCATGCAAAGTTATTAGAATGTCAAACAATGCTGAGAGAATGTCGTGCAATGTTGATTAAATGTCATAATATGTTGATAGAATTTTATAAAATGTTAATAGAATGCCATAATATCTTGATAGAATGCTGATAGAAACCCATAAAATGTTAAACTGTCATAGAATTTTGATAGAAATTCATAGATTTTGATAGAATGTCATAACATGTTGATAGAATTTAAAACAATGTTGATTAAATTTCTTAAATGTTCATAGAATATCAAACAATGTTGATGGAATGTCATAAAATGTTAAGAGAATGTCATAAATGTTGATCAAATGTCAATAAATGGTAAAAGAAAGTCATAAAATGTTGATAGAATGTCATAAAATGTTAATTTAACAATAATTTTTTTAACAGAATTTGATAGATTCTTATAAACTAAAATTAAACCTTATTAGTGTTCTATAATCAAGATCATAGTAACCAAGGGCGGTTTCAGAATTTAAGTTAGAGGGGTTCAGGGTAAAATAATGTATTCGCGCGAAGAGCGAACATTTTTTTGCCCCCTCTGTAAACTTATATAAAATTTGCTAAAAAGTTCTATTTACCCAAATAATTACAGTTTCTTTTACCTTTAAGTACAGGGTAGGAATATGTCTTAATAATCCATTTATTTATCTAATAACGATAGAACACAAATATTATTCTAATGTATGAAGAATTATTTTTTAATTTCTGCTATTATTATTTCTTGGGCCGCTTGAAATAAAGGCATTTAAAGCACTGATGTCCGAAATTGAAGCAAGCCTCTTTATTGTACACTCCCCCTAATATTTCACTCAGGGTGGGGGGGGGGGGGAGGCGGGGGCCCCCCCCTCTGAAACCGCCTATGATAGTCTAGTAACCTTTTATAATGAAGCAGTACCTCTTATTTTGATATCCTTAATCTGTTATCATAAATATTAATATTAAAATTTGATACAAATATTTTAACTTCTTATTGCTAATTGCCTATTTTCAATCATTTTAATTATTCTGAATTAAATATTTGTAATGTTTGTTACTGTATTGGTTTGATAGAGCTGAGCAATATATTGTCTATTATCATGTTTATTTATATTTTCTGCCACCCCACCCACTCGTCCTTTCGTCCAGGTTCCCCCCCCCTGTCACTAAGCTATGGGGAAAATTATGAAAACCTGGCCCCCCCCAGATTAATTTTCCCTCACGAGGATTATACTTTTCTATGTGATATTTATATTGTATAAATTCTAATCTTCGTGCAATAAATATTTGATTTGATTTGATTTGATTTTATAGTTACCATTCATTATTTTTTACAGGAAGTACGTTTGCTGTGATTGTGGTCAGCAGTTTGTTTCTCTGCAAAAATGTTTAAAACATGACAGGAAGCTTCATACAGGAGTCAGGTAGCAGCATTTTCAAACAACTCCTGATCCATGCAGGAGTCAGGTAGCAGCATTTTCAAGTAGCTTTTCATCCATACAGGATTCAGATAGCAGCATTTTCAAGCAGCTCCTGATCCATACAGGAGTCAGGTAGCAGCATTTTCAAGCAGCTTCTGATCCATACAGGAGTCAGGTTGAAAGTAATTTCAAGCAGTTCCAACTTCCAGACCCATACATGGATTCAGGTAGAAGTATTTTCAGACAGCTCCAGATCCACAGGATTCAGGTAGCAGTGTCTTCAAGCAGCTACATATCCATATAGGTGTCAGGGAACAGCATTATAAGGAAAATACAGATAGAAAGAAATATAGATAGATAGTTAGACCTATTGAGGATCTTTACACTTCACTCTTAAAGTTATGAAGCTTCAGGAATGCTTTATCCATGCCGATACAATATTTTACATCCATTAGTCGACAATTCCATACAACACAATCAGGTGACTGTTAAGTGTTGAAGTTAGGCGGTGACGAAATCATTGACCTAGTCCTCGCTATGTTGTTTCACACTCTTCACACTTGACAAGTGTAATTGATTGGAAATTCATTTCCGTCCTTTGTCGGTTATTTTTGAGGAGGACTCGGCCTAGATTTCCACGAATGTTTATTTTTTTTATCCGTCGCTAGATTTGTAATGTTTCAAATTTGTATAAACTATTTTCATTTATTTAAGAGAGTGGGAGTGCCCGGTGTGTCTGATTGAAACTACGGACATTCTAGTTCATATGAAGGTATTTTAGTTTGCATTTGCAGTACATTTACAGTACATTTACAGTACATTTGCAGTACTTTTACAGTACATTTTTAGTACATTTAAAGTACATTTTAGTATATTTACGGTACATTTACAGGGTCTACATTTGCAGTACATTTACAGAATCTACATTTGCAGTACATTTACAGAATCTACATTTGCAGTACATTTGCAGTACATTGACAGGGTCTAAATTTGCAGTACATTTGCAACGTGTCCCACTCCGACCAATGTTGTTGTATTTAGCGCTCTCTCTCTCTCTCTCTCTCTATCTTTTAAAATAATGGCATGACCGATGCACAACAGTACCTTAAACATCATAAGCATAAATTCACAATTCACTGGGAGAAACAATAAACAATAATATGTTTAATCGGTCTAATTGGGATCGAAAGAAACAGCTAGCTAGAAAGGACTGAAAGAGATAACTGAATAAATGTCTGAATGATTAAGGTGCATGAGAATAAAAGACATAAGTGTGATATCTGTGATCATGAATTCAGACACAAGAGTTCCTTGACAAGACACAGATACCAGCACACTAGCAGGGACACTACCATAATCAACATGATATTTCAGTAATATAGGCAGTTTTTAGGATGGGGGGGGGTGTTACAGATTTAATCGTTGAATGATTTTTCAATTTTTAACCACTGCTTTAAGTAAAAAAACGATTATAAACAGTTAAAAACGCAAGACAAGCAATCAATTATGTGTTTTTTTTTATAAAAGTACACAATTTTTGGTTAACTTTCGGAATTTTAGTTGTTGTCCGTTTTTGCAACTTTGTTCAACCCTTCCACCATCTTATACAAGTTTTTTGGACTTTAATAAAAAAAGAAGTTTTTTTATTCACATTGTTTTTAATGGTTCTTTCCGTTCTTTAAATAGCAATTTTCCTTATCCTAATTCTCTTGAAAAAACTTTAAATGACAGTTTCCCTAATCCTAATTTTCTTGAAAAAACCCAAATACATTTCTCTTCAATATCATGATTATGCTTGTTTAAAGGAAACCGTATCCATGTGATTTATGTGAAAAAGAGTTCATCTGTGCCCAACGTTTGAAGAATCACAAAACGAAATTTCACTTTAGAATTCATGATGCTGAAGAAGTTTCTTTAAATCATCTGGATTTTGAAATGATGGAAATATTTTTAAATTAGAGTTTGTGCATTTCTTCTGAGAATATATAAATATTTATGATAATAGTTAATATACTCAGTTTAAACACGCTAAGAACATTACCGAGGGTCTACCGAGTTCCCCAATCAAAATTTGAGGCAAATCGTCCAAGAGTTTACGAGATATATAATCGGACATACAAACAAACTAACAGAAATTACTACTTTGTGTTAATAAAAATGTGAATTCAGTGACGACTTTGATATTGTCTTCGATCCATGCAGCATTCTTTCATGAACACAATTATTGTAGTATTCCAGCCTAAACATCTAATATCGTAAACGCCTGGTCTTGAGATTTTCATATTGTGGTCTACCATTTTTATATCTTCAAAATTGACGGAGATATTGCAAAATTTGTAGAAATTTCAATTTATTTAATAAATCAAAATTGTCTTAATATCTAATATCTTCGTCAATTTTTAAGATTCAATAAAGGTAGATATACACACCACTTTATTAAAAAGCTCGTCAGACGTACAGACTCGTTTTTTACTTTCTTTGTTATGCATTTAACATCAGAAATAAAAGACGACTTTTAAGTCGTCTTTTAATCCTCATATTTATTGAGACAGGGTAGATATTATTTTTAAGTGAAAACTAAAATTACTTGTTTTGACAAAATAGGACTTTTCAGACATTAGTTATGATATCTAAATGCAATCTCTCAAAGGACTTGCTCATCTGAACAAAATAATCATTATAACACATTTTATAGATTGGAAGAAATTCACTTTAAAACACCTTTGAGAGTTGTACGATAGGATTAGTTTAAATGAATTAAAAAGAAGGTAAGGTTAGTTAAACTAAAAATTAGGATATTTTAAGTTTTTTAAAATTGTTTCAATGCAGTTAACAAGCTTAAAGTCGTAAAAGGTCTCCAATTTGGCGATAATCGATTGCAAAATGGTCATTCGAGCTTGAAAAAGATTTCAATGATGACCCAAAAAACATCAATTAGAACAATTTGAAGGAATTGAATTCGGTGATATCCTATTCCAATTACCTTTAGTTGATAAACTAATTGATGGTCACAGATATTTACAAGTTATTAAGGTTGTAAAAAAGTGTGCACCAAGATTATCTTCACATTTTTAAAAAAATAAAATGCAGCTTAGGAGTAAGGGAGCAGCTGTTTTAAAAGACCTCCCCCCACCTCTCCCAAACAAATATAATTTGGGAATTGTGTGAGAGGCTTGATTCTATGGAATAATATTAATGGTTGTGAGTAGAAGTGTTAAGTGCATCTACAGACGAATTATACTGAATAATTAGAGAACGGAAGAAATACGGGCTTTCGTTCCAATGGATGCTATAGCACACAATCAGACTCTGGAGGAACGGATCTACAACATTTCCGGCCTAAATTTCGGAATTGCTTTAAATAAATTCTATTTACAGGGTGTCCCAAAAAAGTGGGATAAAAGTAAAAACAAGAACAGTAATTTTCCAGTCAACAATATTACTGCAGCGGAAAAGATCAAAAAAAAGGAAAGACCTCTTTTTTGAACGCTCAGAAGACGGACATTTGTAAATTCTTAGGGTTGTCTTTATTTCATAGTTTTTGGGACACCCTGTGTGTCAGAAAACATGTAGGGTCGTTCACGATTGAGAAGACAAACAATACACTCCACACAATAAATATAGATATCTAAATCCTCATATTCTGATTTAATTAATTCAGTTCATTTATTCAAATCTATTGAATTAAATCTGTTTAAATTTATATTTGAGTATGAACTATTAAACTGATAGCTGAGCCAGGTTTGCAATCTAACTTTTCAAAATTATTCATTTACAACTTGTATATTCTATTCAATTGTGTTCCATTTATTTAAATACTGTTAATACTGCGTAATGTTAATCAACTAAAGAAATTGCCGTCTTAAATTAAATTTTTCTCGCAAATAATAAAAATGACCATTCACAATTAAAGGGAGTGTAGTTTTAATTTTACGTTGCCCTCCATTTTAAGAGGGGTTTGTCCGATTTAAAACGGTACGATTGTAACAGTTTTCTCTTTAGTCTCTTCTCTGAACTATTATCTTCTATTTATTCTATTCAATTTTGTTTCATTTACATCACATGGGTTCTTTTTATTTGCAAGAATCTATTATTTAAAATAAAAATAATAAAAAAAGTGTTCTTGTATTACGTATTATATTTGTCCTTTGCAAGGTGTTAATGCAAAGAAAGTTATTTCAGAGGTGTACGCATTTTTTGTACGGCAGTGTATTGTCTTTGGGCGGAAAAGTAAACACAAGACGGATGTCACAGCCTGACATGAAATCAATTTTAAAAAAATGATCTATGAAATATTCTGGTCATATATAAGAAACTATTATTTGAATTTTCAAAATTATCAAAATTAAATGCTTTTAACCTCCTCGAACACTGATGCATCTATTCTTGTTTACAAATTCCGCCCAAAGAGAAGTGGTTTCAATATGTACGCAGAGTATACGCGACCGCAATTAACTTTCCTTTCATTGGTACCTTGGTCCTATGTATATCCCTGCCCTGCGTATAAATCTGTCCTATGTTACTAGTCCCTGTCCAACGTATATATCTGCCCTATGTTACAAGTCCCTGTCCAACGCATATATCTGTCCTAAATTACTAGTCCCTGTCCTACGTATATATCTGTCCTATGTTACTAGTCCCTGTACTACGTGTATATCTGTCCTATGTTTTTTTAAGTCCCTGTCCAACGTATGTATCTGCCCTATGTTACACGTCCCTGTCCTACGTGAATATCTGTCCTATATTACAAGTTCCTGTCATACGTATGTCGTGTATATCTTTCCTATGTTAAAAGTCTCTGTCCTACGTGTTTATCTTTCCTATATTACAAGTCCCTGTCCCACGTATGTCGTGTATAATAATAATAATAATCGCTGTCAAACCTTCAATCTGACCTATTGTTACAAGTCCCTGTCCTACGTGTCATATATTACAAGTCCCTGTCCAACGTATGTCGTGTATAATAATTATAATAATCGCTGTCAAACCTTCAATCTGTCCTATTATTACAAGTCCCTGTCCAACGTCTACATATATCTGTCCTATGTTACAAGTCCCTGTCCTACGTGTCCTATGATACAAGTCCCTGTCCTACATATATATCTGTCCTATGTATGACGCATGTCTCTGTTCTACGTATTTATCTGTTTTATGAATGTCCCTGTTCTACGGATAATTTTGTCCTTTGTATGTCCCTGTCCGCATATATATTTGTCTTATGCAAGATCTCCCTGTCCTGCGCTTTCCTTTATAATGATAAGAATTCAAAATTTAAAAAAATGAAAAAAAAGAAAAAAACCTTAACAAATTAATTAAAAAATATCTTGCATAAACTTTTAAATCGCACTCTACTTGACAAGTTGCAATAATTGCAGTTGCTGAAAATATTTATTCAAATAATATTTATATTTCAACAATTATAACCATAATTATTAATAAACATAACATCATTGATCAATAAGGAATTCGTGCACAAGAAAAAAGTTTTCTTTCAGTTAAGTTTTAGTTTTCAAAGCGGGTTTTTCTTCTACGATGGGGGGAAGGCGACCCACACCCGTTTTACCTCGACCCACAAATGATGTCACAAAATGGGTGTGGGTCGGAGTCCATACGGGTAAGCGCATGCTGCAAACACCATTTTATGACTTTATTTGTGGTTCGGAGGTATAACGAGTGTGGGTCGTCTTCCCCAACATCTTACAAAAGACCGACTCTCGATATAATTTCAAGTGACCCAACATTAAAAGAATTACATGCCCTCTATTTTATCCTTTAACCCTATACCGATTGGGCTATTTTTGTCTAATAAAGATGGGGGTGGGGTGTTTTCAACCCCCACCCCTATGATTTTGACCTTAGAGTTGAGATAGGGGAGTGTGATACATTTCCCTAGTCCAAATTTTCAAGGCCTGCTCATTAAAAAAAATTAGATGTCTAATTTTAATGGTTAGGGTGAAAGGGAGAATTTTTAAAAAGTTCAAAAAGTATGTGAAACAAATTTCCAAAAATAATTATTTTCACTTTTGACAAATAATAGATCCATTTTTTAAAGCATTTTCAATTGATTAATAAAAAAGTTATTAATCATTTCTGATTTTTTAAACACCGACCCGTCGTTTTACCAATCTCCATCCTACCCTATGTACCAAAATATTTTTTTAATTAAAATTTGTTCAGAACTGTGATGTTGAAAAAAGTGAAGAAGTTTTATATTATAGTTCTAATGTAAACCATTTTTAAGTAATTCAGAATAAAACACAGGGGGGGGGGGGGGGAAAACACTCCCGCAATTAAATTTTTTAATGGAAAAAAATGTTAGTTTCGTTTTATAGCGGGCACTAAAAGGGACTTGCGAATTAATTCACTTGAAATTATTGAAACAACTCATATCTGGGTCTTTTGTGAATGTAAGGCTGTCTTTAAGTAATAATGATAAAAATATTAGTAATAATAATAATAATAATCTACAGTTTGAGAAAAATAATGTTTAAAAATGTTTTTATAAACAACATAACTAGAGTCCGAATTTAATGAATTTGAGCCGCGTCTAAAATCCCCCCAAAAACGGTTTCAAATTTAAGCCGCGGCTCAAATTCTTTAATTTCGGCCTAAGGATTTTTAGTGCATAGGGTTTACTACTATGTATTAACATAGTTTTCATGGGTAAGTGTAGCGGACCGGTCTTAATAGGATTGTAGTGCAGTGCTGACGTAATTTCAAGTGAACCTCAATTTATTGACTAGCATGTCTGATTCCAACGGTAACCTTAAAAGCAATTCTGATCATGACTAAATAAAATAAACATGTTTATCTATAAGAAAATTAGATTTGTCCCCTCACTTTAAATTGGAAGTCACTTGGAATTACAAGAACAATCTCGTTCAGGGACAGTGTAGCAGACCCAGTTTAGATAAATGGTTGGGGATTAGATATTTCTCCTTGGACCGAAGAATCCAGGGGAATGAGGTCAACCAGGTTTCCTGAAACAAACCAAATATACAGGGTGTCCCACTAAAACAAATATCCAGGGTGTCCCACTAAACCAAATATACAGGGTGTCCCACTAAACATGACAGGTGGGAGACAACTTAAAGGTAGTCTTTGATCTCTTTGATAACTACAGGAGAAAAGTTTTATTATTATTCAAATCTTTTTATTGATCAAAAGTACAAAAACAACAAAGTAAACTTGATATATATATATATATATAAAAGAAAGACACGTACATTTTGATTTTAATATTTTACATAGAGCATCGTTTATTTATGTGGAAATCTTAGAGATTTGGTAAATGACACAATTTTCATGTTTAATTTGAAAGTAAAGTAAATTCAGTAGTTACAGTAAAATGCGCTGACAACATTTAATGAGGGCTCGTAGGGATACATTTTCACGTTTCAGTTCAAATAAAGGCCGATTGCAACAAAAGGCAGAATCTAAAAAGGTGATCCGAAAAAATATAAAAAACAAGATGCGAATAACGTACAAGAATAAAGAAAAAAGAAGAACAATAAGGCGATACACCATTAAGTAACCAAAGGAATCTCATTTTGGAATGTTAACGAGAAAAAAGAAGAATAATAAGGCGATACACCATTAAGTAGCCAATGGAATCTCGTTTTGGAATGTTAACGAGAATTGTTTTAAACATGAGCATTAATGATAGACCACTGTAGAACGAAAAAATGCTTACAATATATATTTCTGAAGCCAAAGCATTAGGTTTTAATATATTTCTGAAGCTAAAGCATTAGGTTTTAATGTAAAGTTAAAGTAGGAAAGATCAGAAGATCGGAATATACAATATACATTACTGAAGCTAAAGCATTAGGGAGGTACCTGTTGGTTGGGTCATTTCAGGTGGGAAAAGGGTGACTAAAGATTTAAACAGTGTTGATCTTATCTCATGCTCGTTTATCATTTCATTCTAAATATAATATATTGAGGAAGAAAACCACTTCAGTCAGTCATTCATTCATTCAGTCAGTCAGTCAGCCAGTCAGTCAGTAAGTAAGTCAGTCAGTCAGTCAGTCAGTTGGTGACCTGGTTGAATATACTAGCTGGAAGTTTCTGGAATTGTTTCTCTTCGTCAGGGTTTCCGTGATCTACACAACCAGACAGGGTTTCCTGAAGGTAGCGGAGAGCTTCATGAGGAGATCTAGAACATATTATAGTTTGTGGATACTGCGCTTGCAACTCTTGTAATGAAAATATCGATATCCATCCTTAATCTCGTCTTTTGTTAATCTGAAGATTAATTTAATCTTTATTCAATAGTTTTAATTATTAAATCTATACCTGCATAGTTACTAGATAAGGTTTAATTAATAAACCTATACCTGCATAGTTACCAGATAAGGTTTAATTAATAAACCTATACCTGCATAGTTCCTAGATAAGTTTAATTATTAAACCTATACCTGCATAGCTACTAGATAAGGTTTAATTATTAAACCTATACCTGCATAGCTACTAGATAAGGTTTAATTATTAAACCTATACCTGCATAGTTCCTAGCTAAGGTTTAATTATTAAACCTATACCTGCATAGTTCCTAGCTAAGGTTTAATTATTAAACCTATACCTGCATAGTTCCTATATAAGGTTTAATTATTAAACCTATACATGCATAGTTCCTAGCTAAGGTTTAATTATTAAACCATACCTGCGTAGTTACTAGCCAAGGTTTAATTATTAAACCTATACTCACATAGTTCCTAACCAAGGTTTAATTATTAAACCTTTACCTGCATAATTCCTAGATAAGGTTTAATTATCAAACCTATACCTGCACAGTTCCTAGCTAAGGTTTAATTATTAAACCTATACCTGCATAGTTCCTAGCTTAGGTTTAATTATTAAACCTATACCTGCATAGTTCCTAGATAAGGTTTAATTATCAAACCTATACCTGCACAGTTCCTAGCTAAGGTTTAATTATTAAACCTATACCTGCATAGTTCCTAGCTTAGGTTTAATTATTAAACCTATACCTGCATAGTTCCTTGAATCTTGAAGTTCTAATACTAAGTTTACAACATCTCTCTAAATCTCGCTGGGCGGGTCTGAGAAGGCCCAGGGACCAAAAATCCCCCAATCTTAACAAATAAAAATTGATAGGTTATTTTCACCAGTAGAGATCAAATCTAAATAAAATGAAGCCTTTTTTCCTTGAGAATAATTTATACAGAATAAGTAGCCTTTAGCATCGTCTAATACATATTTCTTAAAGTTTAACAGTCTTAAGAACTGGCGAGGGTCAACCCAGACCGAAATATTTGTTCAATAAATGTGGAACTAACATCAACTTTTTTACTCTACAGAGGTTTGGTCCATCACCATCACCGAATTTTAAATAATCCTTTTTACTTCGAAAAAATCTTAGTGTTTTTTCTTTTACTAAATTTGATTGACCATTGAGGGGGTTAAAGTTATGCCAATCACATCATATACCTACAGGTCATGATACTTTGTCTGTAGGTGGATCGTTAATAATATAATAATAAGACTATACTGGGTTACCCACAAAGGATGAAATTTCAGAGACGACTCTACGGAACTCATTAAGTTTTTCCTTACATTGTTGATACTTGCTTTCTTTGCAAAATAACTTAGCAAGTTAGCACAACTATAAAAGACCATAATTGACTAAAAACATATTTAAATCTTCGTATCGTTCATTAGTTTCAGGTGAATATTAAATTCTTATCTTGTTTAGGTAATCTGCAATAAAACATATAGGGTNTACCTATATATACAAGACCAACGGGCAGGTTTAATCCCTACCTATATATACAAGACCAACGGGCAGGTTTAATCCCTACCTATATATACAAGACCAACGGGCAGGTTTAATCCCTACCTATATATACAAGACCAACGGGCAGGTTTAATCCCTACCTATATATACAAGACCAACGGGCAGGTTTTATCTCGTAAACCCAGAAACTATTCGACACTCCCGTCTCACCAGACTTCTTCTCTTTATCCTGAAATAATAAAAAATAACTATGTAAATGTTTCTGACATTGACTAATGATATTTTTATCGATAGCAACAAAGGTTTATATTTTCATTCGTCCGCCCCCCAGATGTTAAATGCAGGGTTACCCTCAAAGGATGAGACTGTATTAAGTCTCTTCAATTATGACGCTCCCAAGTTAAAATTAAACTTCTGCCTCGAATGTGGTATTAAATGGCTTATTTGATGCTTAAGCAAATAAGAAAGAAGTTTAAAGTTGCAGAGAGTCGTCAATGTAAGGAAACAGATAGTATACATCACGTACAGATAGTTCACATCACGTACAGATACTATACATCACGTACAGATACTATACATCACGTACAGATAATATACATCACGTACATCACGTACAGATAGTTTACATCACGTACAGATTGTATAAATCACGTACAGATAGCATACATCACGTACAGATAATATACATCACGTACATCACGTACAGATAGTATACATCACGTACAGATAGTACACATCACGTACAGATAGTATACATCACGTACAGATAATATACATTACGTACATCACGTACAGATAGTTTACATCACGTACATATTGTATAAATCACGTACAGTTGTCTCTAAAGCCTCATTATTTGTGGGTAAGCCTAGCTGTATGTTTGAACGGATCGCAAAAGAAGGCTTTAAATGGAAAAAGGAACAGATTGATTACAGTAAAATAAGAGAATTTTTGGATAAATTTTCTTGAAAAAATAATCGGAAGTAACAACAATGTGAAAATGATAATTCTAATGATAATAATGATAACAATATAACAATTAACCAACCTTATTTAACCCTGTCATAACATAAATCTCTTCTCGTTTACAATCTATAGTTGCTCTCTGTGTATACCCTACTGCTGGGATAGAGGATCCGCTGAACAAATAATTTAAAAAATATATTTTTTTTGCCGTAAATAAATTACAATTTTGATTTTTAGTGGGGGGGGGGGGGGGGGGGGGGG